CTCAAATTGCCTATCCTCTTTGTGGCGGCCATATTTACAGAAACATATTTAAACTTCATGTTTAGGATGATGGCTTTGCCAAAGCCTTAATACATTAAAAAAAAAATCTTTGACTGTCATGTCATTGCATTTATTTGAACTAAATCCATTTGTACCCGTTTGTGTTTTAGCCTTTTAGCTTTAGTAAAGAGAAACATGTACTACATATGAAGTTTCTCTAGAGGTGCTTTTATAGGTGCATTACAATTATTGTAATTTCTAAAAAGAACCGGTGTCTCATTAAGTGAACCACTCCGAATAGAAGCAAGAAACGCAAGGTTTGTTGTTATAACCTCAACTCGGCCGCCGCTCAGCGATCAGCTGTGCCACAGCAGGTTAATACCTGTTGTGGCACAGCTGATAGCTTACTTATTTAATAGTAATACCCGGTTAGACTGGGTCGGTTACCGATTGTGCGACTGACCTGCGGTGGACGACCTAAGGTCACCAACTGCCTTCGATTACACCGTGTTGTGGCCCGAAATCTGCACTTTTGTATTGTTCTATTGTTTCGAGCAAATCGCTTTTCCAAGTGCTTATGAAATTCAAACTTTTAAAAATTGTTTTATTCATTAATTTGTGTATTAATCTTAGAATAATAACGCATAGAAACCTAGCCCACACACGCTAAGTGAGGCAAGTTAGAGGCTTCCCAAAGGGCCTTTACGAGTGGGCGGGCTGTCAGTGCTCAAGGTCAAATTGCACCGCGAACAGCTCAAACATTTTTGCTAAAAATGATGAAATGTCCGGTAAATGGGTGTAAAAATAGAACAGAGGCAAACATAAAATAGACACTGATATCACATTCCACAAGGAAATAACGCGTTTCAACTTGTATTTTTATATAAATATTCACTAAAACTGAAAATTAATTTCGTTGCAACAAGACATGAAAATGTTGCAAAGGTAACGGATTTCTTTCTCCCAATTTTGCTATTCTGTTTCAAAATAATTATATTACGTAATTTTTTGAGAATAGGCAATATTGCGATGACTGCAGATTTTTTTTTTCTAATGTAAGTGTGCATTTGACCTCCATTTCTGCAAGTTAAATGCGTACAAATGTTGTTTACAAACAGCAACCCCTAGAGTTTTTTGCTCACACTTCTCGGGGGAATCTGCCTTATGAATGAGCGGTAGAGTTTAACCAATGTGATGATTTCTAGTGTAATAATGCTTACCTATGAAATAAAGATTATTTTGATTTTGATTCTGGGTATCGTTTACGGGGTATATGGGGGTTCTCATTACGAATATAGTACTTATTTCTAAATCCAAGACGGCGGACACGACAGTTCAAACAAAAGCAATATTCGTAATGATCACCCCCAAATACCTCGAAAACGATACGCATATAGCATTTTTTTTTTGAAAAATATTGCC